ATGCTCCCGTAGGCGCTCAGCACTGTCGGGATCCTAATCGAAACTCGTCGGATGAATAGTGATAACGGTGCGAAGTGAAGATTGGTGTTTTGAGTTTTCCCGATAGCAGTGAGCTGAAACAGGAGGAAATGCGAATGGTGGTCACGGGCAGCCGCCTATTGTATGCGGTAGCTGCTTAGTAGTAGTGTGTACCTTGACTTGGCCCCAGCAACAACAGAGAGGTACGGTAAGGTATAGGAACTTGAGGCGCCAGCCTCAAAAGAATGGTGATAGTTGGGGAGCGGGGGGAAGGGGGGAAGAAGATGAAGTTGAGGTTAGAGGGAAAGAAGGATAAGTTAATGAATGCAAAGAAAAGACCAGTGGCAGGGGTTTGGTCTATTTTTTTTCTCCTTCGTCTTGCCCTGAGAAAATGTTTTGATGAAGGGCCCTGGGAGCGAATCTCGTTTTGCTCCACGCACGACTGAATGCTGACTGGGCTGGGCTGGGCTCACAGCTTCCCGCGAGAAAGAGAGGTAAGAATAGGGGACTGGTGTCGCGCTAAGCCTGCTGAGCCACTCCACTCCGCCATCACTTGGGTTGCTTGGGGGGGTGAGGATCCATCCCATCTCTAGCTGCCATCCCTGTCTACTCAAACACATACCCGCCTTTCAACAGCGAGAATCTGACTGCACTGCTGCAGCACGACCTGACGATTGTCTCTTAATACGCAGACATCCTTTATACTGGCAGAGCGTTGGAGACGGCCATCCCGCCAAAGTTTAGCTTTCTGCACGTTGAAAGCGTGGCCGCCGCTATAGAATGACGGGGCTCTCAAAAGAGGCTTGCAGCTGTAAACTATCAACTAAAAAGTACCTCTGCACAGTACGGTACCGTTGGATCAGCTTGTCAGCATTAAAACCCAGCGTGTCAGGGCTCAAGAAGGCTTGAGCCATCCTCCCAGCGACACTGAGGGCTTCAGCCACCGCAAATACACTCAATTCCTCACCGTCATGACGGCCTCTCATTATTCCACTCCGTCTTACACTGATACCGGGTCGGGATACGAACGGGATCAATCAGAGTGCCAGAGATTATGGAGACGCCGTTAAGGGGCCCCTGGCAACTCGCATTGAATTGCTCTAAAATCTCCATACAAAGGCGGTACCTAAGCTGAGTATCGCATTTACTCCTCCTCGGACTTACCGCCTGAGGTGCTCTGCTGGCTCTGCTAACTGTGCTGCACAGTAGTCGGTGGTTTCAGTATGCCGCTTAACAACTTCTGTGGGGGACAATCGTAAACTTCCAGAAGCGAAGTTAAATACCAAGCGACGCCCTCCCCTATTTCAAACGCCGAGTTGCCAGAAGATCGTCATTCCCCTTTCTCCCGCCACACGTCGAGCGCCTATGCGTTGTACAGTACGATCCAGTCCGGTAGACTACGGCACAGAGAATGGTCCCTAATTTCCCCTCATAAGGCCCGGGCTTCGCAGATTGGTCCCATCATAAACTGGCAGACCAGTCAGCCATCTCCTTTGTTGTGGAAGTCTCCGCACCCAGCACCAGCCAGCCCTGTTGGCTTACGATCCTTTCCTTTGATCTCAGCCGCTGAGCCTGCTGGGACGCCTTGTGCAAGCCCGCTCACCTGCACGAATCGGGGCGTGGTACAGTACTTGTGCGGTAGTTCATGTTCTGTCAGCAGTCAGATTCAACCATGTCGTGAACTGCCAACTTTTATAGTTGGTGCTGACCGCCAACGCATTACAAACTTATCGGGGCCCCATCGCTCAGAAAGAAGCATGTGCTCGTGCTACCTTCCCCTCTCCAGAGTCCCCTGTGTCGTATCTGGGAAAAAAGACGACGGTGACATTCAATTAAGCAGTTGCTATGAGGATCATCCAGCATTCATCCCTTTGTTGACAAGCAATTGGCTGAATCAACCAGCCAACTGGATTAGTCTTTGTCCGAAACACCAGAAAATCTGCCACAAACTCAAAGCTTTTGATCCAAAAATAGATGATCCTGTCTTGGCAAGTTAAATTGGCTGGGACGAGCCGGCAGCTGGGGGCGCCGACTGGGTCGCTACAATAGCAATGGGGCGCAGACAGTGGAAGACAGTTTCGTGGTCAAATCGGTTTTGGCCGCCGCCTCTTTCATTCTGCTCTACTTCCCTTTGCTCTGGAAAAGTGTCAGATTCCTTCCGCTCCTGAGTCGACCCAATAATGTGAGATTTCTGTCCCGCCATTCTCACTGCATCTTGCTGTGTGCAATTGCATATCAGCCGAGGCCCTGGATCCTTCGTTCGTCCTCACGTCAGCTTGGTTCAAATCTTGGCTCGCCAGCCCTATCGTTCTTGGGAGCTAGGCATGCAGCTGCTCGGCATAGTTACTATGATGTACTCAGGGAGGACCACTGTGGACTGCTGCGGACTGTCCATATAAAACCTCAACGGTCGCCGCTGACTTTGTTTATTATCAGGACAATCTTAGTAACATATATATCTGTGCAGGTGCTTGCTTATCATCAAACTCGTCGGTGGGGTTTGGCCGGATCGTCGTCAACTTTATCACTGGCAGCGGTAGAGTTGTAGAGTGGTTATGCATCAATGATCTTAACCAAGACAATTACAAGCTTTCACAGATATTGGCCTGACGCAATCTTTCAGCAATAAATCGTCCGTGGTCACCACTTCGGTTACTTTTCCGAGACATCGACCGCTCTAGATTGATGTAAGGAACTCTAAAGATGGTGTCCCAGATCTTTTGGTCCCGACGGGTGCTACCCTGAAGAGGCCTACCACATCTGATGCAAGGGATCACCAAGTGTCTAAGTTCAAGTGTTGCGGCTGTATCAAGGAACTTAAGCAAGAATGTTGCTGTGACAGTTGTGTTTGGGAGTTTGTAGGGTAGGCTCTCGGACGGCGAGGAATACGAACATTCTTTCGCTTCTTCTGGTCATCGCAATCATCGACAATGCGTGTTCCAATGAAGATAGAGTTACTGAAACCCAAGCCATCCACTGCCCCATAAACACCAAAGATCGACGTATTGACCGCAGGAACATACACGGATAATGTTTCTAAGTCCGGATTTCCGAAAACAATAATACCCCCAGCGTCGTGGAGTATGAGGCTCATGTCTAAGCATCGAAAACGGACAAAGTTACAGAATCACTTAATCATGAAGCAAATCACCAATGACTTGTCGAAACTGATGATTTACACTAATGGAAAACACCAACTGAAGCATTTGTTGCCGAGAACAATGATAAGCGAGAAACATGATGTTTCCGTTGCGGTTCGAAAGCATTGACTCGATCGTACCATAATGCTTCATTAGGAATATGTTTACTGTGAGGATACTACATGGTAATTAGGATAATGTATAGCAAGCCTCAGCTAAGAAAGCAGCAGGCCAGTACCTAGGCCGCATTGAGAGCTGTGATTCGCCAAGGGTGATATTTGATATTAGAAGCCACTTTGAAGCCCTTGACGATAGCAGCGATACAACGGTGTTAATGGCGTTGCCGAGAACCGTTAATGGATGGTCAATTAAACGAAAGCTAAGCACCGGAAATTCGTAACCTGAAGCATTTTGTCCATTCGCAGGGCACTAAATTGATATGAAAGTTTTTTTCTTTTCTTCTTCTTGGGTCGGGAGTTTGTTGTTTCGGATTTAGGGACGCGCGTCTGATGTTGACAAAGCGTTCTTGCAGAAACCCGCCCGACAAAGTCTGGTATGCAAACTCGTGCCACTGTCAAGACTCTATCGTGAGTGGTTGGATTCGATCTACAGGGCATGGATTTTGGAGGGGACGGACTGTAACTCTGGAATCAGGTTTAGGTAAGGTGGTAAGGTAGGGTTGCCCTCTTATTGTCTGCGGTGTTATAATATCTACTGTGTTGTATGGATGTTGTCGGAACGATGCAGATCCAGGGTCTTTAGTTGGCGTTGGTTATTTAGCCATTGGAGGTGAGAGAGGGTAAGATCAGTCTATTAATTGAATTCTGCATGAAGCCGTCTGTTCGTGTTCACCTGAAGCCGGTTGATGGTCTTGCGATACCTGAGCTATGAGTTGACGGCCTGGTACCTGCGACAGAGTGGAATGGCCTCGTTACAGTAGGTACCCGTGGCCAAGACAGTGTCTAGCCAGGATCATCAGGGGGTTTAAACACTGCTGTGTGGATATTAAGCAGGGATAAAGCAAGCCCTTTCATAAGCCAGCACACCATTAGAGAGCCACGATATCAGGGGAAGATATACAGTGCGGGCGGTTCTACTGTTTCGCTATTGCTAAAAGAGGCAGAGTCAAGCATTAATACCCCTGTTGCACCATCTCCTCTAGACCCAATCGCCTTCCTCCCACCAACAGAGTCGACAGAGTGTGTGTGAGCCAGTCTTGCGAGTGACCCAGCCCCAGTTCAGCCAAGCCAAGTCAAGTCAAGTCAGGTCCGGGTTCAGGTCCAGTCTTTGACCTCCCACCTCCCGCCGCTTTCCCGTTCGTTCTTTCCATCCATTATTTCATCCATCATTCTTCAACCTTCAAAACGGACGGACGGACGATCGCATCACTTATTCTACCATTTAACGCCCTCGATTTGAACCGAACCGAAACGACACGAGTACAGCATATCAACGACTTTGCTTTTCTCGTATTTTCTTCTTCGATTCAATCGCCTGGTCGATTATGTCTCGTTGCGCCTCCTAACCAGCCTTCTTTTCCATCTGAGCTAGCCTCTGAACCCACACTCGTTTCTCACTCACCTTCCTACGACTTCGATTTTTGGATATACAATACGATTACCGGTTCTCTCCTCTCTTGTTCGCATACAAGAAGTCGACGGCAATTTTTCAACATTTCTTTTATTCTTCTCTTTGCTATACGAGCCTTGTCGCAGATCGCTATTCAATACCAAGCTTTTGCCGACAATCCACACCTAAACTAGAGTGATCGACACTTCTCAACGGTCGACCATCAAATATTATCACAACCTTTTATCAATATCTTTCTCCTCGGACATCACAATGAAGGAAAGGGCCGGACACCTCATCGCCCGGGACTTGGACGAGTTGAGCCATGGTAAGTCGACTAGACAGTCGCCATCTCTCCCTATATCCATCGATGCTAACGATATCATCATCAGCCTACCAGCTTGTCCCCCGAAGCAAGAGCTGTGTGAAATGCGACGATGCCGCCCAACTCGAATGCCCGAAGTGTTCAGATGGTGAAGTCTGCCAGTTTACCGTACCTCTAGACTGCACCATGTGCGCTACATCCATCTGTGAGAAGGACTCCGACTCTTCTTCCCAGAGCAGCAGCAGCAGTCCCAATGTTGGCGCCATTGTCGGTGGTGTCTTGGGTGGTATTGCTGTAATTGCTCTTGTCACCTATGTAGTATGGAGACTTTGTATCAAGCCAAAACGGTCACAGATTCCCGCATCCATCTATGTCGAAGATACAGATGCAATTCACAACGAGAAGGAAGCCAACGCAAGAGGAGTTCGACCACCTTCGACACACACCGTCCACTCAATCGCCTCCACGGTCCTCACGCGAGCATCCAACATCATCCAGATCGCATATATCCCTGGCGTCACAAACCGAGCGACTCCGACATCACCAAATGTTCTTGTCCCTCCCGTGCCCCCGATCCCTATGCACCATGCTCAGGACAACCGTGGTCTAGGAAACGACGATCAACACTTCTTTGTTCCTGGCGACCTCAGAGACTCTACCTACTCAGGACTGTCAGGATACTCAGACCGAACATCCTACGCTCGCACATCCTATGCCCCTCGATCTAGTGTGGCCTCTACAATCTACGGCAAGCAGGCTCAGGTTCTTACACCTGCGCAGACTGGAATGCGCGCCAAGCCTACCATGGTCAGCGTCAAGTCTGTCGGTAACAACGGCAACGAGATGATGGCGCCACCAGTACCAGCAATTGACTTCCAGAAATTTGGCAACAGCCGGCCCAAGAGCGGCGCGAGCGCCTTCAGCGTCGGCTCAACGTTCCTTAACAGCGCCAACACTGCAACGCAGGCTCGTGCACAGGTGGTCAAGGTTGGAACGTTGAAGACGGTCGACGTCAGAAGCAAGACCGAATCGGATGCATCATCATCAACAGTGGCACCTTCGCCACCAACAACACCAAGCGGCAACGTCACCCGAGACTCAAGCATTACCGTTATCGAGGAGTCGCCCACCCAGGATCAAGGACCGTTCTCTGATCCTCCAGAACGAAGCCCTCAACGAACAAACAAGGCCCCAAGCCTTGGTGCCGTTATGGAGGATTCAATAGGCGAGAATGACAAACCTAATGTCCTCATAAGGCGCGACAGCAGTCCTTTCGGTGATAAGCACGCCACAAAAGAGTAATGATACGGCATCCTTACTCTGTCTTATATACTGCAATTTCCTTTATGAAGAGATGTCACGAATCTAGCCGAATGTTAGTCAAGGGACATGCTCCAAAATCTGTCTTTTCATTTTCCTTACCTTATATTCACTTCACGTCAAATTATTTGGACAGACGAACTCCGTATTGTCACGGGATATGGCACCCTTTTTTATGTTTACATTCAGGATAGCGGGGAGGGACTCAAGGTATTAACTATGGCGTCTTGGGAAGGGAGCCTCGGCAACGGCTCATGGATGCCAGGAAGTCATGGCAATCTCTATGTGAATATTGAATAGAGATGATTCGATACGTTTGGTCGTTTTGATGATATGTGATATGTAACGTGATTTCTTGTACCATTACTCGGTGAATCTGCGTTGTGACCGTCGCTGAAAAAGATGTATGGTATTGTCTTGGAACGTTGGGCTTGGTGTTACGGGCACAAGGTAGTGGTCTTGAGATCAATGCCTTTTACTCCTTGGCCGGGAATACCAAGTAGATGAATGATGATGAACTGTGCCATGGTACTGTACGTATGTATCTTACCGCTACCCCTCACCTACATGGCGGCTATTAGCATGAACGATCGTCGTGGTCTAGAGTGTCGATCGTGAGGCTATCACCACGACTCGGCCGATAGATAGCGCGCCCCATTAGTCTACCACGTAGTAGTTCGTGGCTATGTTCGGTACCACTTTTGATCCCTTCAATGCATTGTCACTCAGGAGAACATGATGGCAGGCTGAGTCTCGAAGGGCGCTTGGATATCAGGGACTTGTCATTCAAGGGAAGCGGTTGGATGACGGTGAAACGTGCTAGAAGAAAGGGAGGAGTTTCATGTTAAGATGGGGGAATCCAAGATAGCATGGCCTGTTTCGAGTCTATTCACATGGTATTGGCATTCATCGGGGAGCAGGGCTTAGGGTTTATCTGAGCGCAAGAGTACTAGCTGATGATCTTCAACGCGGTTGTTCCATTGTGATCCAATGTTGTTCCATGCATGCCTGTCAGGTGTCACTGGTGGATATAGAGCCAAAATACGTGAGCGAGTTCAAGAGTCATTACGTATTATCATCGAGTCTACGGTACGTAATGCGTTAAGAAAGAAGCTGAACGGGCGCTGGTTACGATCTAAGTCTACCTATCTACCCTAATGCTAAGGCTGTATGCACCCTACGAGATGGCCTCCGCGGGCTCATCCGTAGCACGCTTCTTGAAGCACTAGAACATCTTGTTAGGCAGGAGACAAATAATTCTGGTGATGCTCTTCTCTTGTTCAAGACTAACGTACAATGTTGGCCGAGATTGCGGGTAAGGTAGTTAGATTCGGCAATGCAACGACATGACTTGTATACCGATACCGACCAGATAAACTCGAAAAGCTTGTCGTGTACTGTAGGTAGACCATGTGAGGAGGACAAGGCCAGCCGTTTACGTATTTTGGGAACGAATTCATCAAGAGACCGCCATTTCCATTTCCATTGCTTGACTTTACTTTTCTAGAGTCTTTTTCTTTCTTCCTTCGCACTCTCTCCTTGATCTTGCTGTATCTACCTAGTCTCGGGATTGACAGTCCCCTGTTCCCCGGAATGTTTACAATATAGTACAATACAACATTGGATAGTTCGTACCTACAGCAGGCTCTAGCAATACGGTGCAGTAGCACGTTGATGCCCTCCCTCCTTCACTGCGTTAGGTTGATTCCTTTGACTATTGACCTTCCCCTTCTGTGCATATCTCCATCCAACGAATGTTTCTAACTTGATGCGTAACAACGTAATATTCTATGGCTGGCTGTTTCTCATAAAAGATGAAATCTGCTTTTGTTTTTGTTATCGACAAGTTGCAATTCGATTAAATACGATTCAAGCCATTCAACCTTTTAGGCAAAATTATCGGCGCGACAAACCAATGCAAATGCAAATGCAGATGCAAACCAACGACGTAGCTAACTTGTTTAATGTTAGGTCAGTAACATCCATATCTGTACTATACTGTAGTCTCTCTCTCTGGTCCCTCTTTCAGGGTCACAGCCTACAGTAGACGCCCGCTGTTAGTCTCGGTCCATGACGCCGTCTATCCTCCGGTTCTTGTCCGTCTCAACGCCGTCTTAATCTCTGTCTCAAAACCCGACACGAGACGGGTATAAGTAATACTGTAGTAAGCAAAAGCACGCAACAAGCCAACGACACGACACAAATGCTTTCGGAAGTTTATTCGTCCGACTTGTAATGTGTGTGTGTGTACAGTACAGTACTGTCATCTGCAGCAGCAGCCAACTGTCAACAAACATATTGTACGTACAAAACGAGGTAAAAAGGAACAATGCATTGTCGTTCAGCAGCAACATCAACTTTGTCGGGTTAGACCAATGTTACCATCTCGGTCATGTCATGGATCTTAGTCCGAGCCCCATGCCTGCCCTGCAACGTTCGAGAAACAAGACAAGGAGTAGGTCGGTAGTATCGGCATAGGCCTAAAGCCGCATAGAAACTTTTGTTCGGCACTTGTGCTGTCATTCTGTATGTACAGTAAGTAGTCTTCCGACTGAGATCGGATTCTTCAAGTTATGGTTGATGATGAACGACTAAGTCAACCCTAGCAATTGTACAGTACACGAATGCCGCCGTGGAAATAAAGGCGCAATCGATGTTTATTAAACTCGAAGCTTGATCCTGTTCTGATGTCATGAGCCGCTGTTGCACTTTGCCATTGCTGGTAAAGAATAGGACATAGTGCTCTACTCCTAAAGCTACTATCATTTTTCCCATCTTAATATGGCATCGACAGTTGATTGTGGATGCCACCAAAATAAAGCTCAATGGGAGAGAATTGATAATTGTATGGACGTTGGAATACCAGGATTCAATTCCTTCGGCATTGTTTCAATATAAACATGCATGCAAAAAGACCTGTTTCCTCTACTCCCAACGTCACTGACAAGAGTCATGCTGGTTACTGCTATGTATATGCACGAAGCGTAGGAGCGCATGTACCATCAACCCAGTGACACGACAGTAAGAGTGGCTTTGTACTGTATAGAGTAGGCTGAAGGAAGTACTCTTCCACGTCTCCATAGCCCATGGGGAACATTTGTGCTCGAGCATCTACTTGTAGTGTAGCGCGAACTCCTCCATCTTCATCAACACCCACATCCACCCACTAGTTTTAGCAAACCCCGCCAAAACCTCTTCTTGATCCTTCTCTCTTGAGCTTCTGTGTGCCCGAGTTCCTGTAAGGCGAAGCCACATCTTCCTTACCAAGTGGAAGTATTGTAAAGCGTATGTTCCGCGACGCATGCCGTAATTTACGCAACCTTGATAGTCAGGTATAATCTCTGTTCACTTTTGCACTCCCAAGACACTCGCAGCTCAACGGCTTGTGTCGAGTCCACTGACAGGGAACATGGTTTTGCCCGACATATGGATGCCAAGGTCCCTTGATGTGAACGGGGCTAACACAATGCTCATGCCCTCAAGCACCAAGCAAACATGACACAAAGCACCAAATAGAGCACTCTGGCCCTGGGATCTTCGTTCGGCCACTGCCTTAGTCAAAGTAGATATTCCACTCCTTATCACACATGGGCCTCGACCCGAATATCACCTGTCTGCAGAATAGATAGCAGGGTTGATGGTCTAAGCTGTCATTTGTCCACACATATCTAAGCAAGTCACTAAACGTCGATGCGAATCTCCTTATTTGATGTGTTAACATGGGTATGACTCGAGATCCTGTCGAGCGTAACGTTGCGAGAAACAAGAGTGAAGGTACGCGGCCACCCAACTGAGTGTTGCTATATGCGAAGCAATGTTCATGTTGGCCGGGACTGGTGGTAGAACAAAATTAGGAAACGACTCTAATATGAACCTGTGGCATGTAAATTCCAGAACATGTGAATTGACGAATCTGCACTCATATACACATAAAAAGAGCATCTTAATCCAATAGTCCAGATATATCCGTATAAGGGAGAAGAAACAAGCAAGGAATTGGCCGCTTGAATTATAAATGCCATTCAAATTTTTGTCGTAAATGTTGTAAAACGATAATAGTATAAATGTCAACAGATAACCTAGCGCCCCAAGAATATGCCTCTTTTTGTTCGTACGCCTTGCGCCGGTGCGGAACTGCTTCTGCTTTCGTTCGTTATTCGATGCTGCGTCGTCATGCCGCCCTAATCGTTGGGCAGTTGGCCATCTAGAAATTGCAGAAAAGTAATAAAGCCCGTCTCGTCTCATCCCATCTCTCTGTACTTCCCACGGTATCTTGCCAATCATCTTGAATCATTGGGCATATCCTATTCGCCAAAAGACACCGCCTTATATGCGATCCTTGACGCTGGCCTGTTGTCGTTGTTGGCGGCTCGATTTGCTCGTCCGCCTTATTTTTCCTCCTCTTAACACATGGATCCTTAATCCGTAAGGATACGTATCCACTCATAATACCACGCATTTGGACTTGTTTCGGTCCTTGTTCCTATTTCTGTGTCTTTCGTCTCGATCGCCGCCCCTTGCATCGCCATTGCCTGTTCGCGTTCGGCCACTTGATCGTTCCGAGGGACGGGAGGCTTGTTGTCGCTGTCGGCGTAGAATCCTAACGACGTCGTAGAACGCTTTTTCGACATTGATGCAGTTCTTCGCTGAAGCTTCCACAAACTCGCAGCCGAGTTCGCGGGCGAGGGCGTGACCTTCTTGTGTAGAAACCTCTCTCTCGGTGACTCGGTCGCTCTTGTTGCCAACAAGCATAATAGGTACAGGCAACTGCGGGTTTGCCGAGGAAATTGGGGAGCCAGGATAAGACGGCGACGAAGCGCACGACTCTTTAACTCGTTGGATTTGATGATGAAAGCGTTTGATGCGAGTGAAGGAAGAGCGTGATGAGATGCTGTAAACTAGAACAAACCCTTCGCCATCACGAATCCATTGATCTCGCAGTGCCGTGTACTCTTCCTGTCCGGCGGTGTCCAGTACTTCGA